ACATTTCATATCACGTTAGCCCAGTACTTTTAATTAGAGTTTCAGTTTAATTATAGTATAATTCTAAACTAGTTGCAGGCACTGACTGATGAGGGAGTGCAGAGATTTTATTTAGGACATGTTGGTTCTTCATATCAAGGGATAGCCATGATTGGGTGCAAAATGACATTGAATGCATTGTGTAATGTCTGTGATCTGAGATTAGGGAAATGTGTGAGTTCCTTTAGTCACATTAGAGTTCCATTACTATGTTTTGTACCTTCCCTTGTTCACCTTCTGAATACATAAGTCAGGTTCAATATTACTACACTTAACCTATGCAAATTTATAATATCAGAGGGAGAATAAGATGAAAAGGAAATGAAAAATCAAAATTAATATTATTTTTCAGTTAAATTATTTTTATAAGAAACGTGCTGCTTTTTGCTTTTAAACACAAAGTAGCAGATGTAAATGAATTAATAGGATAAAGCAAGTTGCTAGAAAAAAAATACCTCTCATAGGAAGTAAAACCAGAATTATGTTATTGAATTAAATTATTTTAATAAAAGTCATGCTGCCTTTTTGCTTTTAAACATTTGGAGTGGTGGAAACAAGATATAAATGAATTTGTTGGATAAAAAATGTTGTAGAAAAAATACGACTTTTGTTGGCCTTGATAATGTAATAAGGTACTACTTTGCTCAAACTTTTGAAAATAAATAGATAAATTGCTGGGCCTGGTGTTGGTGGCATTACTACACTGTTGAGCACTTATGTCTAAATATTTAAGAGACATTCAGATTGGTATAATTTTATTTCATTAAGAATCATGCAGCTAAGGAAGGTAGCCCTTAGTTGGCCCAGCTAAGAAAAAAGGACAATGTTGATGCATCAAGTGGTTTTATGAGCAGGATACCACCTGGTTCCGTGCTCTGACTTCATTTGTTGTTGTCTGGAATAATGAGAACTCTTCATTGGCTTAATGCCTTTGCTTGTAAGAGACAGATGCTATCTGATCCCTCCTGTCAGAAGAATTCCCAGAATAAGCCATTCAACCAAGAACAATTAGTGTCTTGTTGATTGCAAACAGTAGAAGAGGGAATTCTCTGTATTTCCTAGCACCTTGCTTTTTTGGTTGGTGTGTGTTCATCAGTAGCAGAAACTGTTCACTGACCAACGAACTGAAGTGGCACACGGGTGGCTTTTGAGGCACTTTTCTGTGATTTGGCTGTTATTACTTTGAGTTAACTGCTCACTATCTAAGATGTCCACATTGCTACTTTACTTTTAGCCTTTCCATTGAGTCTGTTTCTTAAAGTGTGTTTCTATTCACCTCTTCTGGTGTATACATTTTATTTTAAACAGGTCTCAGTTTCTTGTCCTGCTTTTCTTTCTCCACCTCCTTTTCCTCCCATGTCTCATGACCACATCTCATTCACAGGCAGGGTTTTCTTTAAGGCCGCTCCCATTTCAGAGTAGCTTAAGCAATACATTGTGACTAAGAACAAATATATTACAGTGCCATATGAACTATGAGAAAATGTAAACAGAGACAACTCTGAGATATATTTCCAAATTCACTGTAGGCTTGGGGGGATATTACAGCCCTGTCTATTTCACTTGTACTTCACGTCTTAAAAGATCTGGGGAATGTTTTCCAACATCATTCAGCACAGTTCTAGGTCTCATTAGGGCCAGCAGAGTCAGTGTTCTTGTTTGAACTGCTAGGGGCAAGTCCTAAAAACAAACGACAAAAAAGAAACAGTGTAAATTGCTAATTTGTGTTACTGCCTGAAATCCATGCAAGCAGGATTCATTCATTAGTTCTTATTTATTTGTTTTTGGGTTAGCATATTTGGTTAGAACAAAATTCAGTTCTGAGAAGAAAATGTACAGTGGCCAAACAGTTCATTTTAGAACCCACCTTCATTTAGTTAGCAAGCCTTTATAGTGTGCTTGTTTTCTGCAAAATGCTATCTATATAGTCCTGGAAAAGATAAAATAACTCTAAGACCCAGTTCTTTGAAGTATGTAAGTCTTGTTGGATACTCTTAAAATGTATATTCATGAAAATTCTTGGTAGAGGATGAAGACTACCTATCAACAAGTTAACAATATTATAATTATAATATTTTAAATCAGAATATCTCCAAGGCAACTGAGGAATGATACTGAATCAGGTCAAGAAAGAGGGAGGTAGATTTATAACTGGAGGAGAAAAAGATGTGGAAGGGATTCTTAATGAATTAGGAGGTATTGATACCACAATCTCTGCAATACAGTGTTACAGTATTGCATGGGGAAACAGACATCATTATAATAGGAAAATAATCAATTAGTTGGTCACTTAAAGAGTGAGTTTCCATTCATTTATCTCATCTTAGTTCATCATCTCAAAATCTGCATTGGTTAGTCTCTTGGGGAGTTTTGCAAATTGTAAACATCCATCAATGTAAAGCAATTAAAATGCAGAGGATTTGGTATGCAACATTGCAAATATGAAAAAAGATATAAAATTTCATATTCTAAATCTTGGCAATGAGGTAGGGTAAGTGGCCAGTTAACAGTTGAACCTAAATAATTGGCTATGTATTTCATGTTAACAGCTGAATAAAATTAAAGACTTTGTATGAATGAAGAAAATACATTTTCAAAATTCCTTCAAAAGATAAGGGGTAATTTGAGCTTTTATTTTTTTTCTCTCTGAAATGAGAATTGAAAATGCAAACCTGTTTGGCTCTTTATGGGTCTTACAGCTTGTTCTCTGGGCTGTAATATGTATAAAAGTAGAGGACTGTCCAGGGTATGGTGTGTGTATCACTCTAGTAGTGGGGTTAAGTTATGTTGGTAAGAGCGTGACAGAGAATGACTTAGGGAAGAGGGGTTATAGCACTGAGTAATGAGAAATGAATCTGGAGAAGCAGTGAAAGTATTTTTAGTGGCTTGAATAGTACAGTGGAAGATTTTAGGTTTTGTTCCCTGTGATGTATGAAGACTCAGAGTGGGCCTTGGCCGTGGGTGACTGATGTGGTATTGGAAGCATTCTGATAAAATGGACAGAACACTGGACTGGAAGTCATGAACCCTGGGTTTTGTAGCCCTGGCTTCACATCCAACTATGTATGTGAACTTGTGGAAGTTAATTCACCTTTTTGAGCCTTAGCTTTTCATCAGGAAAATGAGGGTGTTAAACTGCTCTGTAAGATGCTTTACCTTTTGTGTGAGGTTATTCTGTTAATTCAGTACTGAGAAGAAACTGAAGGTGTGTGGGTGAGCTAGGGACTAACTAATTCATATGTGAGGGAATAAGGACATGAGCTGGAACCACATCTAAAATTGAGGAGGAATGGATAGAGCAGGGAGATATTGTGGAGGTGGAAATGGTAGTTTGTTAGGGTGAATGTTGATAAAGAAGAGAGAGTCACAAATAACTTTAAATTTATGAGCCTAGGGGTTTGGGAGGACAAAAGTAACACTAGGGAGTTTAAGAACACTTGCTTATTGTTGGGGGAAGAAGAGCTCAGGTTTTCACATGTCCAAGTTTAGTTGACATGTGAGTGAGATGTCCTGCAGGCATCTGGAAGAACAAGTGTGAAAGGGGAATGAGAGAGGTCAGGCCTGGTGATGACTCCTGGGTTTCAGCCACAGTCAGGCTGTCATTAGAACAGAAAGCGAATGAGATCAATGAGCTCACTGAGGAAGGAATCAGAAAAAAGAATATTGGCATAAGGTGTGGTATTGGAGTGGTAGTGGGGGCAACGCTTTCGTGTAATTCAGAGCCAACATGTGTGAAGTTGGAAGTCAAGGGCAAACAGAGAAATGGGAAAGGCAAAGGGTATCTGAGAGGTTGAGAAAGCCACTGAGTTTGGTTATGAGATATAGTAAGTGGATTCTGGGCAACTGCCTTGAGGTTTGAGCTATTTCTTGAATATTGAAGTGAAATAAATAATTTTGTGGAGGAAATGAAGATTATAAGAATGGAGTCCTTATTTTAACCAAAAACCAGAAGTTAGACATTCTAGCAAGTAGGAAAATAGTGTTAAGTAAAATTCAAGAAACTTAATTTGTTTGCTGTGAGAAAAGAAAAGTTTTTCTCCCCTTTTAATTCTGCTTTCAACGAGCAATTAACTATCCCCTCTAATTATTTCTCTTTCACATCCTACCTATACTGCTTTACCATCTATCCAAGTGAAGCATCTCTCTTAGGAAGGCAGAGAGAGAAAACCTATGTGTGAAACCTCCTCCTTAATACTCCTATTGCGATAAAAAATGTACCCCTTCCCAACCTGTTTACTGCAAAGAGGCCCTGTGCCAGCTTGGTGTCATCACCACCGTCTGAAAACACTATGTGTGAATTAAGATGGATTTTGTTACAGTGGAATTTGGACATTGACTGGGATTGAGTCAACATGGAATTTTATAACTACGTTTAGTTCATACAGGCTTATAGCAAGACTCACAGTGATCTGCATGAGGATGGCCAAAATTACTGGGTTCCCCTCCCCCTAATTTTTAGTGTCACAGTCATTTCAGAAATCAAATGCAGTTTTTTTTTTTCCTTCTGAGACATTGAATTAGTTGCAATAACTTTGTACCAGAATCATACAGTTTTATTGATGCTGGGGAAGTAAAGCCCTAGTGAACTGGGCCATTGAACACACTATAAACACTGTGGCAGGACAAGAAGTTTTCTGGGCTAGTCATTAAGCACCCTTTTTTCAACTAGAACAATACCAGCTACAGTCTAGTAGAGTCAGTGTTTGCTGAGGCTTTATTCCAGCTTCAAATCTATTGCCCTGCCTGCTGAGAACATTTGGCTTACTTTGTAGCTCTCTAGGGAGGAGTGGGAGCCTGGGTGCACTGGGTGAGGAAGACTCAGCCAGCTGGATGGCTAAGGTGAAGTTGGTATGGAGCTGATTGCTCAACTCACCTGTGAGTCCAGGAAGAGGAAGTACTATAAGGAACTTTGTATCTTAGGAATTTTATTTTCTAGCAATATATCTTTTTTTTTTTTACAGTGTAGTGGAGGAAGTTTATTTACGGATGTGGGGAGAACATGGTAAAGGCCCCTGGGCTGGGCAGCAAGGGGGCAATCAGTGGAGATTGAAAACAGATTCTCCAAGCCAGGCCCAGGGAAAAGGGCTCAGGAACCAGCAGGAGTGGGGCGGAGGGGCAAAGCTGACCTGAACCTAGAGAAGAGAGAACATGGCCAAGAATTATCCAGGTAGAAGAAACAGAGGAATCTAAAGGGGGTGTATGTCCAACCCCAAGGGTACCCCAAAGGCACAGTGGCAATGAGGCTTTCTCTGGCCTAGTCCTCTAGCAAATTCCATCACTGCTGAGGGACTGGGCACCATTTCAGCCGTTCTCAGAGGCAGGCCGCCCAGGCCAGGCATGCTGGCCACAGGCTCTTGACCTTGACTGCCCTCTGCTTCTGGGCCTGGCGGTCTCCTCACTCAGGCTCCCTCAGCACAGCAACCAGCTCTCTCTGTTCTCTGTGTAGAGCCTGCCAGGCCTGCTGCCGGGCCTGGACCTGTAGCTGCAGCTCCTCCACCTGCCTCCGCCCTGCCAGGACGGCATCTGCCAGCTGCTGGTTCTCAGCCTCCTGTTTCTGCACGTGGCGCCGCAGGGTGTCCCGTTGCTGCAGGAAGTAGGGTGCCATGACGCTGTGCAGATCCTTCTCTGGGATCCCGCTGGGGCGCCAGGCCGGCTCTTTGCGGTCTTTGCCTTCTTCTACAATTTTATCCAAGGCATTCAAGACAGCTTCCAGGTTCCCCTCCTCTTTGATGTCAGAGATTTCCTCCCGGATAGAAGTCTGCAACTGAGCTATAAACTTGTCATAGATTCGCTGTGTGATGTCAGGCTGCAACTGGTAGAAGCGCTTATAGCAGTCAGTGAATCTCTGGTAGCTGCCGGCGGCGACCAGCTTCTGAAGAAAAGTGTCCACCATGGTGTCGAGGAGCTTCACCCTCGAAATGGTAGTGCCGGGTGGCACAGACTGTGGACACGACCCCTCATGCCTTTTTTCCTCACAGCCGCCGCCTAGATTGGCGCTACTTGCTTCGGCCATGTTGAAGTTGTCTAGCAATATATCTTAACCTACATCTGGAGACGCTTCTTTATTTGCCTGTAAATTAGCAAAACTTTAATGTTGTCTTACCAATTTTATTTTGTATCCATAATACTGCTTTTCTCTGATATGGGCAAGTGAAAAGCAAAGTAACTGAAAATGTTCTGCTGATTAGCAAACACCCAAGGCATGGTCATCTATACTTTTGCTAAAAAACAAACAGAAAACCCCCAAAACTCACATGTATTTGAAATCATCTCTTTCTGAGAGTGGCAGAGTATCATACAAATCCAAAATGGCCTCTGTCCGTGGTCTTGTTTTGTAACATTGTTTTGTTTGCATTTGTCAGCATGATGGTCATGTTAGGGTTACCTGAATATCTGTATTGCACTCTCCAGTGTGGAGAGAAGACCAAAGAAGGTTAGAGCAGTTCCAGAACTAGCACATCAATTAAAAGTGCCAAGCAGTACTTGAGGTGTGGTCAGCTGCAACCCTTTGCAGCCACCAATACTTAGGCACCGTGATGGGTCCAGAACGAATCCAGTGAGAAAGCAAAAAAGGAAGATCTCATGTATTTGCTGGTATTCTATCAGAAAACAAGAGTTAGGAAGGAGCATGTAAGTAAGGCATGAAGGAGTCCATGAGCCGTAAGCAAAATCACATCAATTTTTAACTCTTTGATCTTTGTTCTACTTTTTTCCCCCACTGAATGGTAGATATCAGAACGCTGTCTCCAAAGATTGCCTGAATTAATTAATTCCCAAGTAGGCAAGAATACCACACCCTCTCTTTCAATGAGTTTAAATGACGTTCCACACATTTGCCCTAAGTAAGGTGATACTTAAATTGTATCTTTACACTTATTGTGCAGTTCCTATCCTAAGCCTCTTCATTTTGGTGGCAGTAGCAATGGCATATGGAGAATGATGGCTGGAGGAGGAGTTGTTAAATTATCCCCAAATGCCTCAGAATTGAACACTGTTTCTTCTTTCTGTCCTATGAAAAACGATGGCTTTTTATTATGATCTTTTTAAAATTAGGTTGGTTTTTTACTAATGAAAAAAATTGTCAGTGTTTAAATTGTTTATTTGAACATTTTATCTCTACATTTTTAAAAATCACAAATATCAGCTACATGTTACACAGTTTTTCATTTCTTAGTCTTTTTGAATGAACTAAGTAGTCGTCTTTTCTTTGGTGCTTTTAAATACTATTAGTTGAAACATGGAGGTTATTCTTCTTGAAGTTTAGCTTTTGAACTTAATTTATAGGGTACAGAAAAGAAATTGCAGCTTTGTGGTAAATGTTGAATGCAACCATGAAAACAATGTTACCTTTCTTCAAGATCTCTTGCCTAGCTATAATACATCTGCTAGTTACTAAGTGTAACTGTGTATATTTTCTTTAATAGACTTTGTTGGCTTCCCGAAATGGAAAAATTAGCTTGCTTTATTTACCATAAATTTGTTACTTTTTCTAAAATTTAGTTCAGGGTAATTTCACATCAAACTGGGTAAACATTTTTATCCTTCTTGGCTTTCATGATTGCTCTGACTTCTTCATAAAATTTGGAAATCACGTTTTAACTTTTTATTGCCTCTTTATTAAGTGCTTGGAAAACACATGGAAGCCCTTTTATTTTACAAACTGTGGTAACATCGTAGTAAGATTTTATTCTTTTTCACTCTCAAGATTGATTTTTTCTTTTAGAAAAGCAATTTAGAAAGTACCCATACTTGCTGAAATTAGTCATCATCTAGATCTTAATATCACATATCCTAAGTTCCCCACTAATTATTTGCAGATTTCCAGGACTTAAATATGTGCTGAACCTGAAAACTATGAATGTGTTTGCTGAATCAAACCAAAGTGAAATTGTTTTCTTGACTATGAATGAGACTAAATAATTTTAAAACACTACTCAGCCACTGTAAAAAGAGTGTTGAAATAAAACTAAATATATATATGGTATACACTTACTGAACTAAGCCTGCTTTATTAAAATGACTTTATGATTCTCCAGTGTATTGTTTATACATATTCTTTCTAAAGATTCATGCTTAGTTGATAATTCATACTGCTTACATATTTTTGGATTGGTTGACCTCAGACAACAAGGATGGTTTCTAGCACACAAGACATTCTGAACATATCATGAGCAAGATGCTACCCAAGATGTTTTCTTTGTTTTCTTAAATATTTAACCAACAAATAAAAAGAATATATATTCAAGGTACTAATATGATGATTTGATATACATATACATGTCTAATGATTACCACAGTCAAATCAATTAACATATCTGTCTTCATCCAGAGTTACCATTTGTGTGTGTGTCCCAAGATATTGTTGAGGGTCTGATTATATGACTCCAGTGAAAATGATGGAGATAGGCTCTTGATATGAGGGGAAAAGTGCTGTAAACACAAAGACTACCTCAAGGGGTGAGGGTGTAGTTCTTGGGCAGCAGAAGTAAATCTGTACTGTGAATGTCCTCTTTGGGGAATTACAGAATGACATGATGACTTACCTATAATGGAAAACTTGTTTTGGTAAGATATCCTTTCTAAATGTTTTTTAAGAAAAAAAATTCTAAGTGCTGAGTTTGAAGACTTAGTAGAATGTTATCGATAGAAGGATTTTAGTGTCAGTATTAAATACTGCACAAATACTTGACACTGAACATCATGTATAATGGATATGGCCATATATTGTCTTTTTAAAGGAAGTGTCGTCTGTTTTTTTCTCCAAAATAAACTTAACATATTTTTCTCATTAGTGAAATGATGGCTCTCAAATAAACATCCCAGCCCAGTCCTGTGTGCTTCAGCCCAGCCTGTGCTTCAGGTTTATTTAAGACCATAACCCACAGTGATGCCCAGAAGTACCTCAATCTCAGCATACTTAAAAGCAGTTGTATTATTTGTGCCCAAGATTATTTCTTATGAAAATTGCAGAGTTTTAGTTACCTAAGCCTGAAACTTGCTGGTTGACCTTGGTTCTTCCTACCTTCCTTACATTAAATCTTGCACTGTCTCTTTAAAATCTCTCATACCTGCGCCTCCTGCATTTTCCAGTACTGCTGTAGTTAAGATCTTCAGAGTGTCATTCCTAGACGGTGGCAGTAGTCTCCTGTCTTCCGCTTTGGTTGCACAAATAACCTCCTCTAACCAATCTATCTTTCACTGTTCTCTCAAAGTGATCTATCTGAAATAAAAATCTAATCATGGGAGTCTTGTCTTAAATGTTCACTGCCTCCCTATTGCCAATAGAAAGTAGCTTTACCTCTTAAATATTTTCTATGTGCAAGGCACTCTTTAAAAATATTATATTGTATAATCTTCACAGCAACTAAATAAGGTACTTACCTTTATTATCACCATTTTACACATGAGGAAACAAATACAGAGAAAATAAGTACCTGGCCCAAGGTCACATAGCTGATAATAACAGGGCCAGGATTTGGCCCAAGCAGTCTGATGGTAGATGCCCTGTGTGTAAACACTGTGTAATGATGCTTCTAATTTCTTAGCTTCCCATAAAGGCAGGGTTTGATATTCAAAAGTGGACCAAGAGAGGATGGGCCCATTTTATATCATCCTATACCAATGAATGTGGCCTACCTTGCCACATTGTGTAAAGGAGATTGTTTCACATTTTATGGTATAAACTTAATGCTGAAAGGCAGTAGTTCTTATCTCCTGAGTTGGTACAAGTACTAATGGTTCTTAAGCTATTTATTACATTGTATGGCTTCAGTTTCAGTTGAGACATTGGGTGTTTTTAGATGTATTCGCAACACTCATAAGTGATGTTTTCCTTTTAGCAGCATCTTTTCCTCCCTTGTGTTGTTGACAGTTTGGGGCATACGTTTTGCTGCAGAGAAAAAGATAATGACAGTGAGCATTGGTATGAAGTTATTTCCCTTCTTGCTTCTGCCTGAGGCAGTTGTGAGTTTTCAGTTGCAGAAGTTCAAAAAACTTATATTTTGATGAACAGAGCCATTGAAAACTTTATTTCTTGAAGTTAAGTTTGATTTGAGAAAAGGAGTATACAGATACTTATATAGCCTTATTTTGCCAACTCCTTGCCATTTATTCAGTCCACAGATTGTTCTAAGCATTTATTTTATTTTCTGAGGTCATTGTTTTTTCTCCTAGGATCAGGTGAGTTAGGAAGATCATTTTTTTTTTCCATTGAAGAATGTAGTGTTTTCTAGGACACAGTTCAAACTCTTGTGAATGTCTTAAGTCAGTTTCTAATGTTTCTTTCATATGAGAACCCTTCTTCTATTTGATGACAGCTATCATGTCCCATGATGTCACCTCTGCTTTAAATAGCCATTCATGTTTCTCTTACAACATGACTTTCAGGTTTTTTTTCTTTTTTTTTTCCCCACCATCCTGCTCTCCCTTTGAATTAGGAGACTCAAGGGTATAATTGAATATGGTTTAGTGTTACCTAGCAAAACACTGGCAGTGATCTTGCAAATAATTTAGTTATCAGTCCCTACACCTTGTTTTATTATTTCTTGAGCCTAAGACAGTGGTTATTGCATGATGATCTGTGGCCCTCTTAGGTTAAATGGAAAGGAGTGATTCATGATCAGACTAAAAATTCAGATTGTACAAAATATGTCAGGTTTTGTTTTTGTTTTACTTTGTCTTTAATGTTTGTTTTCTACTTTGTATTATAGAAATTGATGCTCATTCTAGAATGAAAACAATGGAGTTTCAAAAATGTAGCTTTTTAACACAGTAGTAGCTTTACAAGATAGGTTTTGTATGCTGAGAGCAGGAGATTCTGGTTATCTGAGTCTTGAGAACATTTGTTCAGGCATTTTGTACTCTGAGAGGCTAAGATCATGGAAATTAAGAGTTTTGAAAGTTCTCGAGTTCTCTAAAGGATCCTTGAAAAATAACTAGGAGGTGAGTCATTTAATATTTCTGAACATCTGATTTCTGATCATAAAAATGAATTAGGAAAATTACCACTTAGCATCCATTGTAGTAAACATTGATTTGGAAGAGTCATCATTGGATATTAAATTGGAGGTAGTAGAAATTTGACAGAGAGCAGGATATTTGCATGGTCTTAAAGCACCTCCCTACAGACATTTTATTAATTGCAAGCCAAAAGAAATGGTAACCATATAGTGGAATAACTGAGTGTCAAAATTAATATCACTGAGGGGAGGCAGACAGATATCATGTGTCTTCAGGTAGGATGCTGTAAGAACACAAAACCACTTTTGTAGCATTCCGACAAAATGCATTACCTGAATCTCATCATGAGGAAATATCAGACAAATCCAAATAGAGAAATTGTCTAAAAAAATGCCTGGCCTATATTCTTGAAGATGGCAGTATCATGAAACACAACAAAGGCTGAAGAACTGTTTTGCATTAAAGGAG